GGGGGGGGGGGGGAAGCAATGCCGACAATGCATGAGGGGGGGGTGAGACTGAAACTGAAAACCATCGGGGATTTGATACCCTCACGTGGGACGAGAAGACGAGAAGAAACGCCAACAACGACTGATGTCGTGGATACATTCTCGTTTGTTCCAGACCCGTCCAAACCATCCCAACGCAATGCTAACTTTACTCGCAGGAAAAGCGCGAGCGCCGAGCGCCAAAAAGCAAAAAAACGACAGAACGAACGCCACTTATGACTACAGCAACAACAAAAAACGAGAACTAAATCACGCCAGGCTTGCAAAACTAATTGTACCGTCGTACGGTCCACCGACCGGCACTGCTGCCGCCCACGCCGCCCAACAGAGCAAAGAAATACACACAGCAGCAGCCACAAGCATGTTGCTCCTCTTCGGCAACGACTGCAAAATTGTCGTTAGTCAACACCACAGAGAAACGATACGTGCTGTGGAGAATCTTATCCGAGCAGTTACTGTCACCCAGACCTGGCACGAAGTTGACGCCCATTTCATTCAGCTTTTCGTTGACTCCTGGGTTATGGATCAGCTCGTTCGTGATGTGCATGGTCTGGCAACGCAGGGAGAAAATGGCACCGGAGAAAGACAAACACAGGGGGGAAAGTCGGCCATATGCTTCCGTGAGTGGATATTACCGAACTGGACGCGCCAACCACATCGTATATACGGAGAAATTCGCGAACACAAAACCGCACCGGTGATGCTTTCTTACCCACCGTCAGTAGGCACGCTGCACAACGACAGGAACCGTTCCTCCTGGGGGAAACAGCCAATGGAAAAGGAGGGGAAATTCGCCCGGCATGTACAAAACCCGGGCGCTCAAGTCTGTGTGTGAAGATCTCGAGACAAGCTGGCATGGGACAAGAGTGCCCCATGTTCAGAGGCATCGTGCTCGGACACAAAGATACCTGAGGGGAAAGGAACCACCAATCTCGTCAATACCTGGTCGGGGAAGTGCTTTCTGGCCTGGAACGCCATGGCCACCGCCCTCTCCACGCCCCAGCAGAAGCCGTAGTACTCGGCGAGCTTGAAGGTCGTGTCACCCCTAGTGATGCTGCCCTTGTTCTCCTTGAACTCCGAGATGATGTCGCTCGTGAACTCGTCCGACATGAGCGCCGAAACGTCCTCCTGCCGAACCACAGCCGACGGGGGAGCAGGCATGATCATTTCGGGCTGTCAGCGCTCATGATCGGACAAACCCACCTGGCGCTTAAAAGCAATCTCGTCGGGAGCGCCTCGTACGTTCTCCGTAGGTAGATCGGCTGTCCCTTCATTCTTTCCCAGGTGGAGAAACCAGGCGAAAACATGAGCCCGGAAAACGTGTGTTGATATCCACACCGAAAACATAAACTGGTGCCCTCTGCAGCCCCTACATCGGGCCGGGTACACCCCTCCATTGATACTAGCTCCGCTCACGTGCCAAAGAGCCATGGTTGCTCCCTGTTCTAGGTAGAAAACCAACCCCTTCTTCGAAGACAACGAACGCGTAACGTCTGACCAAAAGCCTGAGAATGCATCGCAGAAACCCGCCACGCAGCGTCTCCCCCCCCCCACCCACCCCCCGTCTCCCTCCTCTCCTCCGAGGTCTAGCGTTGTGCATGTCCACGGACGAATACGTCGCCGAAAAAATAGAGATTTCTCTCCGCCGACGGGAGGGGGGGGGGGGCTTGGAAATATCCACAACGAGCCTTGACATTTTCTTCAACAAGGTCCGAGCTGGTTGTGCGGAGAAGACCTCAAAACATGCTTGTTCCGGCACCTACAGGGCTGGTTCCGTGCACAAGGAAAGTTTGATCACACTTAGCCTCCAGGAAACCCGAATGACCCGCCTCTCCGCTCGCGTGATGTGTTGCACAGATGAACTTACCATGTTACCGCAGACCGAAAACGCATGGAAGAGGGTTGGTCACGACGATGACCAAACGCACACGGAACCCAAGCTTGGGTGCAAAGGAAGGCAGTCGAAAAATACGACCCAAGAGATGGGTCCAACGTTAGAAGGGGAGCGTAACCCTCCCATCACCCACTACAGACCTTCTCGTCCTTGAAGCCGACACGGTTGTAACTGTCCGACTGGAGAATCTTTCGTCTCGCCGCCTTCTTGTCGACGACGTCCGCAGCAGACGACATAGAAACCTTTGATGTGGCCCCTCGACGGCACTGCTGGTGGCGGTAGTGATGGTGCACGAGGCAGGGAAAGGTACGGCATTCTTGAGGTCACCGACAACACACAAGCGCATTTCACATGTTAACACAACACAGCAGAGACCGCAAGACGCAGAAGAGAGAGAGAGACAGAGAGAGAGAGACAGAGAGATACACCCACGCGCGCACCCACAGAAAAACAGAGATAAAGAGAGTGCTCTCTTGAGACCGTTCCATCGTTAGCACGCACGCCCCGGTGTACGGACGGCGGGGCTTTGCAGCTGAATTGACTAGAGGCCCCCAACCCAGCCTTATCGTTTGGCCTGGCGGCAACCTCACAGCAGCTAGCGCTATTGAATATTATCTTTGTTTCTCTTTTTCTCTTCTTCACCTACCCACACGGCATCACTCCAACATGAGCGGCTTCGACATTGACATGGCTATTGCTGTACGACCACACCGCCCGGTAGTCGAACGAGATCTGCGTATGTTGGCAACATCTTTTTGTCCCGAATCAACACCAAGCTCCCTTTCGGCAATCGACGAGACGATATCCGTTCGTCTCGTCGGTCGCCAGAGGGAAACGTCGTGTTCATTCGGGACAATGCCAATGCTGCTTATCTCGTTCGACTACTGGGCGGTGTGGTCGTACAGCAGTAGCCATGTCAATGTCGAGGGCACTCATGGTGGGGTGATGAGTGTGTGGACGGATGACTAGCAGGAACAAACAATATAGGGCTAGCTGCTAGGCTATCATGCAAAGGGCATATCGGAAGAATCCGAAGACGGCATATGCGATATGAGGCGGATGGAGGTGGTGGCTCCTGGTTCGGGGAGTTATTGATCTATTTTGCATCGTTGCATGCATGCTTTGTACGCCAACAAACATGCAAACCCAACCCCTCTGGCACGTGCCTCCTTTTCCATGAATGCCGAGAGAAGACCCCCAAGCAAGGAGAATATATCTATGCATCCCCAAGCGACATCTAAGCGAATCGCCATCGTGGTCCTCTAAGCGGATACTTCATCATCACACCAAGCTGTGGTTTGTATTTCATCTGATCATTTTACTTTGCACACCACGTCGTCGAGCAACCCCGCAGCTATGATAGGAACTCTAGAAAGCGGTCGACACATGTTCCTTTCTGTGATTGCGTTGTATTTCCCCCATGGAAGCCCCATCCCGGAGAGCACGGGTGAAAAGCTCAAAGGAACAAGAGGGCAACGGTGTGACTACCCCGCCACTTCATCGGCAACATGCGTCCCCTGGTATTTCTCGTAAACAGCACCGTCTCTTGGTCAGCTCTGCCTGCTCCTTCAGCAGCGCCACCACATTGCGCCCGCCGGGGACAGGCCAGTCTACCGTAGATGTCGGTTTCAAGTTGGCAGCAGAGCTCACTCACCCTTGACGCTGCCTCCTACACCCCATCTCGCCCATCTCTCTCCGTCCCGCCCTGCTTACCTGCGCGGGGTTGGTATACCTCGGCAACGAGGGCGCCAGGAAAGCAGCGACCGAGCCGGCCATGGCCAGCGTGCCCACGACGGTGCCCTTCATCTTGCGCGGGCGGTGTGTTTCAAACCTCCTGCTTGCTGCTGCTGCTGCTGCTGGTGCTGCTGCACGGCGGCCTGTTGTTGTGTAGGAGCAACGCCGATAGGTCGAGACCGGAGCACGGATAATTCACCGCAAGCGGTTGGGACGCTTTCCGGGGAGAAGAAGGGGTCGATGCAAAGCAGTCCGGGGGCGTGTAGGGAGGCAGGGAGCTAAGCTGCTGGATGGGAGGTGCAGCTAGAGCGGTCGCCGTGGCAAACATATTGGTTATAATATGTGTTGTTGCATGCGGATGGGGGAGGGAGGCGTTGAATATCTATTTTGCGGTGCCTCTTGTACCCATAGTTGAACAAAAAAGGGCCATCATCACTGATGTGCTGGACGTCCTCAGGTGGCAGGTGGGTGCCCTGCTCAGCCAGGGACCGACTCATACCGACAGAGGCGCCCTGACGGCAGCAAGCACAGCCCAAACGAGCGGCTATTGTAGAGCATCGACGAGGAAGGCTTGGTTGGCAGTCTGCTTTGGACCAACAATGGCGTCGTGCGTCGCCAGGACGCGGCGTGCTCGATCGATGCACTCCACAACTGCTGTGGAAGTTGAAGGTAGTAGCAGCACCAACAGCGGTGGTGGATCGCCTAGCCCAGTGGTGGATCTCGACGAGCTCGTACACGGGACCGGGCAGTGGGAGAACATGCAAGGGGTCATTCGGAGGTGATTTTTGTGTTGGAAAGCCATGTATGACATACATGTCTTGTGTCTTGTTGGATGAACGGATACAACCGTTTGATTTTTCAAATATCCTCGATGGTGCATCGGTGTGTCGGTGTGCCGTATGCACACCAACACTGCATCAGCTTGTACAGGCAGTACCTTCCTGCCTGCTCAAGCCGCTCGTGTTCGAGGATGCGATGCAATGTCTCCTTTTCCTGCTTCAAAATAAGCCTCATAGAGCTGGCGTGTCACTGTAGCAATACCCACCAACGCCCCCTGGGTGGGAAGCCCTTCTGCCTTGGTACATGGCGGGTCGCCAGTCAGGTCAGTGTCGAAGTGCCATTTTTCTTCCTCCCGTGCTGCACGCGACACAGCAGTACCGCCGGGCGCCTACCCGTGGCACCGGTACTGATTAAGTCTACAGTAGCAGAGGGCGGTGGACCACCGTTGGATGATGTCGCTTGATTGCACGAAGTAGTCTGCACTTGATCTACGGTACAGCAGAGAGGGACGGCGTTTTTCAGCTCAAACGCCGAGCCAAGCCTGCTACATGTAGCAGTTCTACAGGGCAAGGCTATTTGGTTCGGTCGTTTTCCGACTGTACCTCGCTCTAAGCATCGATCAAGGCCCAACTTCGAGGCCTCGTTCATTTCTACTTCGGTAACTATATTGTAGCGCCTCTTCTTCTTGGACTTATCCATGCTCTCCCGTCTTTCTCAACTGCTATTTACAATGTACCCACATGGCCCCCGTGCTTGCCACAATGCAATACGCCTTCCAGCACCATCAAGACCCTGCTAGAAACGCAAGCCGAGCACCGGCAGCAGATTGCGGCACACGAGAAACAGATACGAGGCATGCAGGCCCTGCTCGTACGCCGAAAAAACACTGATTCAGACAAGGTTCGCAGGGGAGATTTGGCTCGGGCGACAGCCGTCGCTGCTGAAACCGGTGCCGTGCTGGCCAAGCTTCGAAAGGATGTGGCGACCGTCAGGGTAAGAAACAGCGGCGCCGCGGGTGGTGCGAGGGTTTTGTATTGACATTTGACCCCTTCATTCAGAATCAATCACCTTTCGGCTGCGTGGAACTCTCTTGTCCGACCACAGGTGTAGGTTTTTGCTGTCCGTTGTTCTCTGCTCTTGATTCAACGATTCAACGCTTTCCCCAGCCGACCACCCCCTCGGTGTTTGCCATCGGGATTGGGTTTTCGTCGCTTGGCAACGACGTTGTAAAAGAAGCCGATTCACTTCGTGAACTCGGCAACCAGGTTCCCGTTTTTTTTCTTTTTACCTCTGTTTTATTTTTTGGCGGTAACCATAATGGTGGTCGAGTAGATCATGTTGTGCGGGGTCGAGAACCCTCACTCCCCGCAAGGGGCATGATCGCACCACGTTGTGTTGAAATGGTCAAGCACCCTCGAGGCTGTTACACAGTTAGGGGTGTCAAAGCGGCGGAATTTGGGGCCAAAAAAACGTCCGGCCCATTCGTCAAAATTTGAGGGGGGCACGCGGATTTGGTTCTTTTTTTGATTCTTGAGAATCCCGCTGTTAATACATCAAATCAATTTGTCTGTGCAGGCAGCTCTGCGTCCAGACAGCAGCATGGCTCTTCATGCGTTACACACACCTGGACACAGGTCCAACAGAGGTGGCTGTAAGGTCGGTTTTCTCGTTATGTTAAAGGGCGGACGAAGAACACCAAAAAACATGTTTCTTTGGTCTCTTTGCTCCACGCCCAACGCGTCCAAGGCGACCTTTGCTCCTATCGTGAAAGCTACCTTACAGCCCTCTACCTTGGGTTTACAGCTATACCACACAACAAACCGCATCCGAATCGCATCAGCCAACCACGAGATCTACATGTCTGAAAACGGCCCCTCCAGTGGGGCTGCGGCGCCCACACCAGCAGACCCTCCCAAAAAAATATATCGAGATCTGCGCCGTTCGGCAGCAGGAGGCGCGCTGCGTGAAAGCTGAATCAAAACAAAAGTAAGTTTGAAGAGAGGACGGGGATGTCTGTGGCTGAGGCGTCAGCAGCAGACAACACCCGGCTCACTATCGAGCGCGGCAGCATCACCGCCGCGCAGAAAGCGCAGCAAAGAACGAAGGAGGAGCTGGCCGAAAGTAGGAAAAGTGAGGAAGAGAGCAAAGCTGGTTGCAGCATGGCTCTGGAGTTTGCGCGCGAGAAATACGAGGAGCTCAAGTCGGAGCGGGCACGGAGACAGCAGGCCGAGCAGGAGAAACAGCAGGCCTGGGCGAGAGAAGGAGTCGGCGGTGGCGGGACAGCGCCAGGCGGAAGAGAGAACCCGTTGAATAATCAAAGCACACACACGAGCGGCGCCCTCGCGCGTGTGCGTCAGAGGGTCTTTCGGGAGATTCCGACGGTTCCGTGCAATTTCATTTGTTGGTCGATTGTCCATCAGCAAGATCCGAGGACGCTTTTTCAAAAAATTTCCTATAGGAAAATTTCCGCTTTGACACCCCTAACAGTGCTTACAACTGTCTCAGGAAGTGAAAGCACCAGAAAATATATTAAGTCATACGCAGCTGTCATCCGTACGCAAGGAAGTAAGCACAAGATGCCGAACACCCTTAGCAGGATGCAGCGCACCCTTCATGCGACTCGCCGAATATCTCACGGCGCTTCGCGCTTGGGAATGTGAGAGCCTGGTCCGACGAGAACCCGGCGTGCGCCGTCCCGGCCTTGTAGGGATGCGAGGTCAATGGTCTAACGACTACGGCATGCACGACTATGAGTACACCCCCCCCCCCGCAACCGACCACAGATCCCACGCACACACGATCAACCCGAAAATACGCATGCTGAACAGAAGGGTACATGCCTCGGCATAAAGCCCAGGTTTGCATGACGTCATGTCATAGCATCTGACGACGCCAAATAACCATGTCTACTCACGCTCACATGTCTACCTCCTAACGCAATAGCGGGTTGGGGGGTGGGGGGAGTACGGCCCGATGATCGATGCCTCCCCTCTGTAGTGCGGTTTTGTGGGTGGTCCTGGGGCATTGCGGCAAAAACTTCAACCTGATGCGCGCGGCAGCCCGCCCGTACGCAGCATCTCGACCATTTTTTTCCGCTCGAAAAGTGATAATGACGGCAAACAGGGTAGTGGACGGTGTTGCGTGCTATCCCATTGCCGTTTCCATGTGCCCAACTTCCACCTTGCACACGAGTGTCGAATCTACCGCTGGGGTTCAGTTTATTTTCACATGTATGGCTTGCCTCCTGTGTGACCCCGGCCGGTACGTCCAGCATTTTGCCGCAAGTGTTCCCAAGGCGATGCCACAGCTGTTCCATCTGGGGCCGGTGGCTCTTGGCCGCTCACCGCTGCCGTCGTTGTCCTCTCACGCCTTCCACAATGTGGTGCCGGACGGACGGGCAGGAAGACGCGCGGGCAGAGATGAACGATCTCGAGACACGGATAGAGGGCAAGGTCTCCAGGGAGCACGTCAAGGCTTGCCTCGACGGAAAGGCCAACCAAGAGGACGTGGCAACGCTGCGGGGTCGTATCGACAGGTACGCGCCGCTTGCGAGAGCGCGACCTAGAGGGACCGTGGGGAAGTTGTGCCGCATGCTCCTGTTCCATGGGTAAGACGCAGAAAGTCGAAATCGGCGTTGCAAAGTGTGCCGCGCACGCCCCAGCCGGTCTCCCGGGTCCCCTTGCTGCAGTCCTGGTCGCTGCTGATTGTGGAGTGGGCTACTCCTGTTTCCAACTCCCCTACCACGGAAACACACTCGATTAACAAATCCGCGTCCGCATCGCGTGTTGTAACCCTTCGCCAGATAGATCTAGGCCTTGTTTGCCACATGCGTGTCAAGGTAAAGCTGCATACAAACAGACGGCCGCGGCACGCGCGTCAGCAGTGACGACACCGGCGACCCTCTCTGTGTTGGCCTCGAAACCAGGGCTCAGGTGCAAGGGAATTTATGCTTTGCCGGGCCCACACCACCGTCGCCCCCCCGCTCCCCCCCCTCGCTCGAGCCGGGCTTCGTTCCGATTTTGCGGACATGCTAACGAAAGCAACCCTCCTGGTATGTTTTTTCTTTAGGCTGTCCGCGGCAACGGCAGGGCTTGCTGCTGGGACGAGGGGTGCCCAGGCGCTGCGCGACCAGGCGATGTCGACCGAGAAACGCTTGGCAGAGGTGGAGGCCAGGGTGCAAGGGTGTGAGGCCCACGCCGTGCGGTCAGACCCGGCGGCGGTCGCCCTCAGGTGCGCGCGTGTGTGTGTGTGTGTGTGTGCCTTTCATACTAGCATCGACCTTCCTTACCGGGTGACCAATGAGAAGATGTCAGTGCCAGTGGGGGAAATCAAGGTCCTTCTGGTGTGTGTGTGGTTGGCGTTGCTCTGGAGGAGAAAGGGACGCGAGAAGGAGCCCTTACCAGCCGGGGGAGGGTGGGTGGGTGGGTGCTCTTTTCGTTGTGGGACCTGGCACCACCGCCGCCATGCGGTTGCCTGTAGAAACTACATGGCGACGTGCGACAGGTCGAGGTGAGATGGGTAGAAAAAGATGAAGAACAACTTGAAGAGCGCGGGTACCAGTTAAGTATCAACAACGGGAGTGCGGGTTTTCATTATTTTGTACCAGGTACTTCCATGATATTGGTGTATTGTATGTGGCGCTCGCAGGGTGCCAAAGACCGATGTTCCTCTCCGGCAGCACAAATAACTTGTCGCCGACGAACGTAGTATGTTCTCTCTCTCTCTCTCTCTCTCTCTCTCTCTCTCTCTCTCNCTCTCTCTCTCTCTCTCTCTCTCTCTCTCTCTCTCTCTCTCTCTCTCTCTCTCTCCCTCCCTGTCTCTCTCTCTCTCTCCCTCTCTCTCTTTCCCGAGCAATCGACTCCGATGTGTGTATCGGCTGCGCGGACAACTTTGAGGGACGGGAATAATCTTGTTGCGGTTGATTGTCCGGTAGGGTACCGCCGGCCTTTACCCCAAACCCGTTTCCTTTTCTGCTCCGGCCGTTCTGTCGGTCTTCCCTGCTTGCCGTCTCTCTTGGCGCCTCTCTTCTATGCTGTGCAGGATCGAAACCATTTCCTCTGGGCTGGAGGGCTTGAGCAAGCGAGTGGACAACAAGGCCAGCGCCTCGGCCACGGAACGTGCGCTCGAGGCGAAGGTCGATAAGGCGAGCGGGAGCGGTATAGCCTGCGTAGGCGAACCTCCGAGCCTTAACCTTTCCAGGGCAAGCAGCTGGTGCTTTTCTGGGAAATTGTGAAAGCTCAAGCCCCGCTTTCCAGAGCAGGAAGCTGTACATTCATATGTATTTTCGCTTGTTGATGCGAGCAGACCAACGTTCTCATGTTGGCGTTCCATCGCTGTTCCACAACAGCACGCGATTGAGTTTGTCTCTCATCGACACCAGCCTCCGCCGCACCCCCTCTCCGTGNAAGGAGGCCTCAGCCGCCGCCGCCGCCGCCGCAGCCACCGCCGCCGCCGCGTCTCTCAGGCTCCGCGCCGACGGCCACGACAAGGCCCTGGCCCGGCTAACGGCGGCGGCGGCGGCGGCGGCGGCGGCCAAAGAGCAGAAGACGAGCGGCGGTAAGAGGGCGGAGGAGGAGGAGGCGGCCCGGCGCCGCTGCGAGAAGGGGTTCCGGCGAAACGCCAAGAGGCTGGAGAGCGTGGAGGGGGGGTTGGCCGCCCTGGCGACGGCGTCGGCGTCGCTCACCGCTAGGGCCGCCAAGACAGCTGACGCGGTCGAGAGGTGAGGAGCGGGGGGGGGACGCAGGGAAGGTCGCTGTCGCATGTGCTGTTCTTCGCGCCAAAGCGATGCCTCACCTGCGTCGCTGTTATTCGGCCACGTAGCTCGTATCTTGCAGCAATCTTTGACCTGACGGTTCCCTTGGTTTTGGCACCAGGGATCGCGAGAGGTCCCAGCGCAAAGCCGAGTCGATCACGAATGCCGTACGGGCGCTAAAAGGGCGCTTGGAAGAATGGGAGCCGTCTCGCCAGCTCGAGGCGGTGCAGCAGCTCGTCGATAACCAGGTGAGAGGAGACCCAGCATCGTTGCCCTCGCAGCCTTGGTGCGCCCGAGCATCAAATTGCTCGTTTCGTGTTACTTACTGAGTAGAAGTGTTTGTTTGCTCTGGTTGCATGATGAGCGTGTTTGTTTTTGAGAGCCACTTCGCCTCGCCTTGTTCATCGCGTCTTGTGCCGGTGGTTTGTCGTTGGCCTGTCTTGTCTGTCTGTCTGTCTGGCTGTCCGTGGCTGTCCCTCTCTCTCTGTCTCCCTCGGTCACCACCAACTTTCTTTTTGTCTCTGGCGCTTCCAGCTCCGGTCGCCCCCGCCCTTGCAATGCATCCCGGGCTCCTACACACTCCTTGTTCACGGGTGCATGACCACAAAAAATAATATCTCCGGCTCCTCCTCCTCCTCCTCCTCCTCCTCCTCCTCCTCCTC